TTTAAGCAGGTGACCCCTATTACAAACAGATCTAGTGCAACTATATATAGCTGGGTGGTTCTGGTCAAAGTGGCAGTAGGGTCCCCTCCTCCCCCCTCTCTGGAGAGGCTCTGTGGTACTTTCACAGATCTCTAGGGCTCTGAAAAACCCAGTTGGAAAACCACTGGTTTGTTTTCTAGGTCACAGTAAATAACAGTGGCTTGTATATCAGTTTACAAATTCAATTTAAGCATATTATTAGATCATACCTTAAATGCACCTGGAGCATATATTGCTCAAAAGAACCCTGATGTAAATTCTTATGTACAGTGAATAATTATAGTTGTTCTATCCACTATTAAAGTTTAGATTTTTCACACACTGAGCTTTCTTTAAATCAGGTACCTAAGGAAGGAATAAAAGCAGCTCCATTTTTGCCAGTCTTATAAAAACAACCACTATTTCTCCCTTCTGCGCACTCTTTCACCAACAGATGTCACTAAAGATACCATTACCCAGAGGCAAAGGGAAGAAAAGATTAGACAAATGGAAACTGAGCATAAAAACCACCCAGTTCTTAAAACTGAGAAGTAGGTTTCCAAAGTAATAACATTTATTACACTGCATGCAACATTTTAACCAAAAATTTAAGAAAGAAATTTCTTTTATTAAGTTGCTCAGGCTGAACGGATCATAGCACTAAATTTTGAAATACATGTTCTTGAAGCAATTTAAAACTCATTAGAAATAATAGGCTTGGGCTAGTAGAAAATGTGGTAAAATCTAATCCTCATCCAAATGTTACCTGGGCTGCACAAACAGGAAATTGTTTTGTGCTACTGTGGCTAACCTCATTGCTGACCCTGAGCTGTAACGGCGAGAGCAGCTGAGAGCTGAGGCAAAATTAAAAACTTACATCAAAGTATATCATGACAGAATGTAGATAAATAAAACAGCATATCAAAAGTATTATTTTTCTGCCAGTCTCATTGAGTAGCGAGGTGGAGGTATTCCATAAAATATATAACGAATCGGGCACATGTGGAAATGAGTTCTTCCCCCTCTGAACTGCCCCAATCATCGATTACACAAATACTGCCCATGACAGGTGAGCAGAGAAGGAACCCAGCGAGGATGGGAACAGAAGGGATCAAAGAATGTTCTGGCCCCTTTCTTCCATGGGCTCTCCCTTCCTTCACCTTGGCTTACCACAGAAATAAATAATGTTGGCTCTTCTGTACCCTCCTAGTCATTCTTTTCCTCATCTTCTAGACTCCTGGATGGCAACCATAGGATCTCCCTTCAGTGAGCATATTAGAATCTCCAGAGATAAAAGCATGGGTAATAAAACATTACACAGGTAAAGACAGACAAAATCAGCTCGGCTGACTGAGGCCAGCATGTGGAATCAGTGAAGGCTGAAAAAGATTTTTCTATTATTCTATGTAAAGCGCATGTGTCAAGGTCACTGGTGACAAAGCTGAAGGACATTTTTCCACTGAGCCTTCATTTTCCTTAAGTTTTAGGGTAGAAATCACCATATACTTAAAGAACAGTGCTTCATCAAAAGTACCCAACTTTGTGTGGCAATTCTCAGGTGGCAGAAAGGAACATGCAAAGACTACTGTCTGAAGTTATACAGACTTTGAATGAAATTCCAATTTGACTATTTGCTAACTATGTAATATTTGGCAACTCTTTAACTTCTATGAGCTTCAATTTCTTCCTAACAGTAGTCACAGTAGCTAAGTGATCTAAGGGCTTTCCATGCACTATGTAACTGAATCCTCATAACCACCCTATGAAGTAGGTATTATTTTCTCTGTTTAACAAGAAAGTGAAGCAAGAGAGGCTTAGCAACTTAACCAAGGCCAAGTGACTAGTGAGTGGCAGATAATAATACTTACCTTAAGGATTCTATGGGCTAATGTATGATTAATGGTCTAGTATAGGAGCAGGCACATAATAGCTGATTAAAAAATGGAAGCAACCCTTATTATTAGGCCAAACTAAGGAGAAGAACCTTACCCTAATCTCCTAGCCTTTCTTCAGAGTAAGAAAACTCCTTATTGGCTTTTCTTCTCAAGAATGCTTTGAAGGCTTTCTCTTTTCTTTTTTCTTTTTTCTGCTTTTCTTTCTCTTTTCTTCCTCTCTCTCCCTCTGCCTCCTCCTCTTCTTCTTCCTCCAATATAATCCTCACAGTTTTCTTTCTCAACTTTTGCTGCAATGCTTTTGTCTATGTCAAACAACCTGACAGAGGACTGAATAGCTTTTGAAGCCCATAGACTTGGCGTTGTTCTGAGATTCCTTTTGGTATCACTTGCTGGACAAACATTCTGTCCTATACTAGAGATTCAGTGATCCTGGAAGAGGAGGAAGTTGCTGCTCTTATCAGCCCTACTGTAAGAGTGAGTAAGCCTCACTTAGTAAGAGAAACTGGATCCAGAAAAGGGGGAAGGAAAGATACGACTGTGGTTGGTAACAGGAAACTAACATTTGTATAGTTAAAGGTCTATTGACTACTAAGAAATTCTTATACGTGCATTGTTTCATAACGGGGAAGTATTTCTTTTTAAAAAGTGAGGAAATAGACGCTTAGCACTTGTTACAGGCAGAAGGAAGCAGGACAGCATGGTCCAAACAGAAGGCATTCCTGAATAAAAAAGTGATGAGGTCAGTGAACCCCTATCCAAAGGAGGCTGGTTCTGTGAGTGTAAGAGAATGGCTTTGGATCAAGGAAAGGCATATTCACTGAGTACCTAAGCCATGTCACAACCTGTGCCAAGCCCTTTACCCAGAGTAGCTCAATTAACCACCTCTAATCCTAACTAGACAGGCAGGTCAGTAGGTATTCATTATTTCTAATTTTACATATGAGAAAACTAGGCCACAGAGGTGTAGTGTATTAGCTGAATGTCATGGAGTTGATATGGGTTGGTACTAGAATTGGTACTCAGATCTTTTAATTGCCAAAATCTATGTTTTTTTAAAGATATCATTCTTTTGGAAAAAGCTCCAGTCGTATGTCTTTTATGATAAGACACTGAAAGGAATTAGATATACCCTGGAAACACAACAAACTGTACTGAGAACATTTAAAAAGGGGTCCATTTTTACCTTTGGGCGGCAAAGCATTTCTACTTTATATGTTTCTAATGTGTCCATTTTCAACAGATGCAAAAGTTGTGGCAATATAGTTGCTGGTACAGATGAAAATAGGAGAGTTTACGTTTACTGTCTTAAATAGGTGCTTTCTGTAGTTTCTATACACTTATGACCTCAAACTCTAAAAATCAAATGTACAATTAAAACTAAGCATTTTTAACAGAGGCCTACAGTGCATACGGAACAGAGTCCCAGAATATTTTGAGTTCAAGTAAAAACAATTTAAAAGAACTGTTTTCCTGCTTTTTAAAATAGGCTTTACTTTTTAAAGAGTAATATGCTTTTTAATTTTTTTAAATTGGAGTACAGTTGCTTTACAATGTTGTGTTAGTTTCTGCTGTAGAAAATACCTAGGAATAAACCTACCTAAGGAGACAAAAGACCTGTATGCAGAAAACTATCAGAAAACTATAAGACACCGATGAAAGAAATTAAAGATGATACAAACAGATGGAGAGATATACCATGTTCTTGGAATGGAAGAATCAACACTGTGAAAATGACTCTACTACCCAAAGCAATCTACAGATTCAATGCAATCACTATCAAACTACCAGTGGCATTTTTCACAGAACTAGAACAAAAAAATTTCACAACTTGTATGGAAACACAAAAGACCCTGAATGGCCAAAGCAATCTTGAGAAAGAAAAATGGAGCTGGAGGAATCAGGCTCCCTGACTTCAGACTATACTACAAAGCTACAGTAATCAAGACAGTATGGTACTGGCACAAAAACAGAAATACAGATCAATGGAACAGGATAGAAAGCCCAGAGATAAACCCACACACCTATGGGCACCTTATCTTTGATAAAGGAGGCAAGAATATACAATGGAGAAAAGACAGCCTCTTCAATAAGTGGTGCTGGGAAAACTGGACAGCTACATGTAAAAGAATGAAATTAGAACACTCTCTTACACCATACACAAAATAAACTAATACGCTTTTAATGGCTGTTCCTACATACACACACTCACTTAAAGAAGCTTTACAAAATTTTGTAAAATCTGTTTCTAGGTGCTCCGAAAGAAGTATAAGAATCACAGGCAATTTTTGAGGCCAAACATAGAGTTGGCTGTTGATTTGGGAAAGTAAGACCAGACAGGTAAAAAAGAAGAGGACAAAGGAAAGGAGGACACAGAGAGACATCTCTCAAGAAGAACAATGCAAAGTGTCCAGCCTGTAGTTAGTATTCAGTCAGTGTGTGGCAAACTAACAGAGGATTCTTATCTGTTGTATCATATCCTCATTCCCTGGCTACATAAAGGTCTCAGAGAGTTGAGAATTTCATTGATGAAGCTGTCAGAATTGGCAAATATTAGGGTTTATGGTAGTTCTAAGGCTCATTTCTAACTACTAACCACATTTTTTTGTACTATAATTGAATAGAACAATCATTACTGTAGAACTCTGATTCTTAGGATGCAGTGCCCCCAGATTTCCTACAATAAAATATTTACCAGGATATTTTTCCAAAATTCAGTGCCGGTGACATACTGGTTTAAGCATCCTTTGACCCAATACACTAAACTCCCTGATGTAACTTTTAGCAATTTTCAATATGCTGTAACTTTTCAATATTCTATCTATAGTGTATTCCCTTTGCCTACTGACACTGCAATTTCATCTAAAAGAAATTCATCAAGTTGGTCAGGCATGATCTGTAGTCAAAGGCATGTTGCTTATTTCTCTTGATGTCAATATGATAGCTACCTGGCTTTTTGCACCCCTATTACCCACTTCAAAAATTCATACAGATATGAAGGTTTCAAAAGAACAAAATAACTAACATCATTCTTTCCTCCAAAGAGATAAAAGTTATATTGCAGAGACAACTATGGAAAAGGATACTCACCATAAGTGCAAATCATTTTACTAGCTTCTCTGAAGAGAAGAATTCCATTAGGAGATGATACATCAAAGTTCAAACGCTGGGATCTAAGAAATACAGCAAAAATTTAGACTATATGTGCAGATAAAAAAACCAAATATAGGTTTAAAATACCCAGAATTTTCATTTATTAGAAGTAGCAACAGTACAATTATCCCTTTTTTAAAGTGTCATTCCATTAAACAAGTATTGATAAAATGTGTGTGCTATTTCTCTCACTATAAAGATACTAGAACAATAAAAATATTTTCATTTATTTGCTGATTCAAAGAATTCACTTTTTATCTGTCAAAACAATATCCTGACATCCTATATCACAGACCTCTTATACCCTCTCCTTTCATGCAAAGTGGTTGACAGATAATAATAAAGAAAACCCCAAGTATGTATAAGTTTATATAGTTACTTGGATAGAGATTTACACTTGAGATCTCCTGTAGTGCCTAATACACATGTTTAAAACAAATTATAAAATAAGAGGAAATCTAAGTACCTTTAATACTGCTCATATGCATAATGATTCACCTGATACTTCAAGCATATTTCAAACACATTAAATTACATACAGACTATAGTTTCCATTGAGCATAGCTCAAGTAAAGAGAAACAAATCCCAGAAGTTCTAAATAAGAACAGTTCTACTTCCCTAGTTCCTAACAGGTTGGGGAACAGTCTGAAAAATGTAAAGGACTGACATGCCATCCTGACATAATATTTGCTTTTTTAACATCACTTTGGCTTTAGTTGGCTCCAATATACCTTGCTGCTCTGCTTTTAAGAAATAATGGTATATTTTTAAAAGGATCAGCAAAAATATGAAATAGGTCATAGCAAAGAAACACCAAAAAGTAAAGATGTTTGCCAAGGAACAGAATAAATTGCTAGGAATAGAATAAATTGCTGCTTCTCTATGCTTTTTCAAAATGCTTCAGAATTAAGTGCAATTATAACTTATTAGAAATACTACTGGAAACATTTGATTGTTGGCATAGAATTCCGATTAAAGAAATGTATATACATAATTCACATTAGGTTCCAGAGAAATACAGACAAGATAACATTTTCTGGGATTATAAATTTTTACCAGGTAGTTCTTTGGACAACTGTGCTAGATATGAATTATCCACCTATGGCAGATGTAAAATACTTTACAATATACAATGTAATGATTTTTTCCTTTAGTACTGAATGTTATATCAGTAATATGAACTATTAATTATCTGGCTGAAAAAACTGTAATTTAATAAAAACGAAATTTCTAATATAAACTATATAGCCACCCTTCATTTAGTATTTAAGGCACCTAGAGAACAGTTTTAAAAAAACTAACAGCTTTCAAAAGAATACTCACATTTATTTATTTGCCAGGTCTTTTCCCACCTCTTGTTTTAAAAATTTTAAATTACTGCTGTGAAAAACTCAGCACCACAGATCAAATTAGAGTTGCAACCCATACTCCTTCCCTGTCGGGAGATCTCCCTTCCAACACTCAACTTACAAAGAGGAACTGATGAAACAGGATGGCTAAGTGACAGGTAATTTGGTGCTAAGCCATATTCATAATGACATATTTTAAAGAGGTAAAACTAATTATCTTATTGCAGTTTTTCTCTTTTAGCTACACCTTTGTTAACATTTATATACGAAGAACCTGAACCTCTGCTTGTCTATGCAAATGATAAGGTCACCTAGGCAATTTCTGAGAAGTGTGGTAGTTGCTATTTAAATAAAAATTGTGAGTGCATAAATCATCCACATGTGTGCATCTTGGCACAGAGGAAGAAGGATAACTTAGAAGTCAAGGCAGGGACAATCACCAGGGCTTCTGAGACAAACTATGTGTCCACGAATTGCTCTGGGACTCAGTTCCCTTATCCATAAAATAAAGCATCTCAACTCAGAGACCTCTAAACTCCTTTCCTCCTCTACAGAACTGCAGTTAAACGATGAAACAGTTAAAACTGCCCTGGGACTTTCCTGGTGGCACAGTGGTTAAGAATCCGCCTGCCAATGCAGGGGACACGGGTTCGAGCCCTGGTCCGCGAAGATCCCACATGCTGCGGAGCAACTAAGCCCGTGCGCCACAACTACTGAGCCTGCGATCTAGAGCCCGCGAGCCACAACTACTGAAGCCCACATACCTAGAGCCCGTGGTCTTGCAACAAGAGAAGCTACCGCAATGAGAAGCCCGTGCACCACAATGAAGGGTAGCCCCTGCTCGCTGCACCTAGAGAAAGCCCGCGCGCAGCAACGAAGACCCAACGCAGCCAAAAATAAATAAATTTATAAACAAAACAAAACAAAAACCTACCTTCCTCCATATTGTGCTTTTGAATCTTTTAAATAACGGTGGCTGTAGTCTTCCAATTTTTTTCCCAGTTCCCATAGTCCCCATATACACCTAAGTATACTAAATTCTTTCTCGCTCAAAGTCTCAACCTTATATCTCTAATTCTACTGCCTTCAACTGATCATCTTAAGTTTCGGTTCCTGGGTTCTTGCTAAGCCTTAAATATACAGACACCAGGCAGGAAAGTCTGACCTCCAAAGAGTGCTACCAAATAGTAAATGACCTTTTCACTTGCCTATCCTACCTCTTACCTGTTTTGCATCAGTTCTGCCATAAGTTTTAAGATGGGAGTTGTACATGCTGGCTCTCCATACCACTGCTCAACAGCCCTCTGAAGAATGGGAATATATATTGGGTACCTTTTATAAAGCCTGTTAAAGAATTTAAGGGTCAAAAGAAATATTGTTTCTGAAAATTGGTGCCACTTAAAAAGAAAAAAAAGGAATCCACATTTGTTCTATGTTTAGCATACTTATGAAGTATCATGTAACATATTTAAAGAATTATGCTTAATATTGCAGGAAAGGAAAATAAGTTTAGTTAATGAGGGTAAAAAATGTGAATTGCTACTATCAGAGTTTGCTGGGCATCAAACTACTTAAGAAAAAAATGTTGTTTATTATGTAACTTTAAAAATACATAAAAGTAGAGGGAAATAGTAAACCCCATGTATTTATCTCCCAGCTTAGAAATTATCTACATTCTTTTAAGTTGTTGACTTAACTCTGCTTAGTCCCACTATAGCCCCAAGGAACGCTGGGGATGACAGCTTGAAGAAAAGCTTTGGGTAATTTTTAATCTCAACTCAAGGTCAGTTTGCTCAAAGGTAGTCCCTTGTACACTCAAGGAGAAATTCTCAAACACCCTCATCAATACTAAGGAGTGCATGTCTCTGTTAAGTCTGGCTGAGACCACCAGAACCTGGAAAACTCCGACTCAGCTCCACTGACCCTTTAACCCATAACTGGCCTCCTCCTAACAAATGGACACAGAAATATAAAATTAAGGCCTAAAACTGCAGCAGAAAAACCCCTTCCTACACCACTACCTTCATTTCCTTCTTCTTTTCCTAATCCCTAAATCTGTCTCTTTCTGATGTTTTTCAATGTACTTGTCTTTTTGTCTCAGATGAAAGTGCTGAACGGAATCACCTCATGTCGTTCCTTTTATGGGTAGTGATCTCCATGGTGAGAAAGATGACAATTTTCTTCCCTGCTCTTAGAATAAATCTCAAGTTTCTTAGCGTGGCAAACAAGGTCCTTAATATCTGGTCCCTGCCTACCTCCAGTCTCGTCTCTTAGTGCTCCTGCCCTTATCTATGGTTTGGCCATTCTTAATTCTCTGCAAACCCACTGATGCCGACTCTCTCTTGTCTCTATTCCTCTTTATGCTGCTTTGTCTGCCTAACACATTCCAAACTGTATTTCAACATCTAGCTCAAGTTTTACTTTCCCTGGAATGGTGAAACTTTCTCTTTTTTCTCAAAAGGAATCAATCTCTTCCTCATCTAAGTTCAATGAGCACTTTGACCACGTCTCTCTTATAACAAACTGTATTACGGTTGGTTGCTTGTATTACCCATCTGCCCCAATAGATAGTGAGTTTCTCAAGGGCAAAGACCTGTGCTTCCCTACTGTGACCCTGTTAACTCCTATTTGTCCCTCATATTTCAATATACATGTCAATTATTCCAAGAAGCCTCCGTGACACCTCCCCTAATCCCCCCATGACTAAGTGTGTCTCCTATGTAAGGCTCTGGTACCCTGTGTTAGTGCTATCATAGCACCTTATCTCTCCTACTATATGCTTTTTGAGAGCATAGCATAGGTACTTATTGTATGCATGGACCTGGCACAAAATAGATTTCAATAAATATTTGTTGTGGTAAACCTGCCAACCTAAAAATGAGGTGTAGCATACTTGATTAGACCTACCTATCTGATTCTTTTAAGCTGTGCATTTCACTTTGAAGCTTCAGGAAATAATTCACATAACATTTAGTGAAAATAAGCCCTTAAATACCTTAAGAGTGTCAGGCTCCCTAAAAGTGTAAAAAGCAATACTTTTGTCCCCCTAGATATACCATGTTAAGGCTGTATTTGAATATATACGAAAATTTACTTAAGTATTTATTGAAGGTCTATTCTATAAATGTCTTCTCACTGTTATAGACTCTCTGGAGCCATCTGGAAGCAAACATTAAAGAAATCCCTGCCCTTGTAGAATTTATATTCTAATAAGACAGAAAATAAAATAGATATATGATCCTTTAGAAAGTGCTACAAAGGAAATAAGGCAGAGAGAGGAGATGAGAAGTGAGTGTGTATGTGTGAATGAGGTTTCAGTTGGATGAAAATGAAAAATATAAAATCAATAAACTTGATTATTAACTCTATTTTGTCAGATAACTTGTTTTATTTTTTTCTATGGACTAGAAAATCTGTTATTTTTGATAGATGGTAGATACTCTGTGCTATGTACTGTGCCAGGGATCTAGTGATAAGTAAGACATGGTCTTTTTTCTTGGTGAATTCATGCTTGAGTCTGGGTGGTACACACATAATAGTAATGCTCTGAGTACCAAAATTCTGAAACAGTGCCAGAGCAGTCCAGGTGAGAAAATATTCCACCAAGAGATCTGAGTACAAACTCAGTGATCACGAGTGGGAAAGCATCTGGAAGACTCATCAGGAGACTGAAAAGACCCAAATCTCAGAATCTAAGAATATCATAAGCACACAGAAGCCCCTTTGCAAGGCATTCTAAAGACATCAGGACCATCATACTTTTCAGAGCACACTGTATTCACTATGGGATAAGGCCCGGGATATGAGGGGATGCTCCCTTTTCTGTGTGGAATGAGAGTGGTGCCAACTCTAATATGCTTCTGACAGAGGTGACTGCCACAGAGAAAATGAGTGATTACTGGAAAGCAGAGTAAAGGTCTACCAAGCAGGGAGGTTAAAAGGGTTTCAGAGTGAGAGTGCCAGACTCAGATTACACGGTGAGAATCAGAACCCGCTCTAGGAGTGTAATTTTCCAGTGGCCTTGTGAGAACTATGTATATGTGGATAAGGAGGAAGACAGTGGGAGACCTTAGGTAGAAGTGGCACAGATCTCACTGCTTTCACCTAGATCTCCTCAAAGGATTCCTAAGGTCAACACCAGATGAATAAAAAACAAAAAAATTAACGATGTGCTATTGCCTTATAAGATGCTAAATATGAAAAACTGAAAAGAATGAGGTTTGCTTCTTGATGACATCCATCCATCCATCCATCCATACATCCAATAGTTACTTACTATGTGCTGGACCCCAAGAAAGCATAAATGAGTAAAAAAAGTAATTCTTTTCCTCTGAGATTTCACAGTAGAGAAAGCATTCTAATATACTAGAAGGCAACAAAAGAGGTTTTTGTTAAAAATTTTAGGAGATAAGAGTGTGAGGATGTGGTTCCAGAACAGAAATAGCCTGTAGTTCAGAGCTTAATTGAAAGGTATTCCTTGAATGTGAAACATCTATACCTTTGCTCATGGAGGCAACTGCTGCTGGGAAGCCGCCTCTCTTTCGGTCTGGCAAATGCCTATCCATCTTTCAACACCTAGCTCAACTTTTACTTCCCTGGGAAGCCTACTTTTTGCCCCAAATACCAATCTCTTCCTCTTAAATGTTCATATGGTCCTTTGCATGCATCTTTGTTACAACACATTGATGGTTTATTAGTTATTTGTTATGGCCACTAGACTATGAGCTTCTAAGGAACGATCCATTTTATTCATTCTTATAAAAAGCAATCATTTTATTCATTTCTCATGCCTGGCACAATGCACTCAACATACGCTTGTTGAACAGCAATTTTTCAGGTTTACTTTCTTCCCTATTTCAGTTTGTCCAACATACTGCTGACTATTCTCTTCTTGAAATACAATTCTGATTCTGTTAGTCAGTCAAAATCATCAATTGCTTTATACCATCTATGGAATAAGGGTCTCAGTTCCTTGGCCTGATATTCAAGGGTCCCAGACAACCTGCGTGTCCAACCATAAGTGTATCTTTAACAAAATAACTTCTCTACTACTCTCCTTCCTAAACCTGTGCTTAGACCAACTGAAAACCTCTTACTTCACAGTTCCAATAGTCCAATCCTACTTATGTGATATGACCCAAAGAAATATCTTCACCTTTACAGAGCCTTTCCTGATGCTCCAGCTAAATGCAATCACTTTATTTCTATCTTTGTTATGGGACTTATCACCTTCTGTATTTTATTACAGTTGTTTAGGTAGATACCTAACTGACTCTATTAAACTGTAACATCATTTTGGGGTGGGATTTGAGTGTAAGAAATCTACATCCCTCATGAATCCTAGGACAGTCCTTAGCCAAATTTGCTGAATAAGTGAGCAAATTGGATTCCTCTGTCTCATTCCATATTAGGGAAAGGAACTAACAACAGTGGAGGGGTATATTTACTTTGTGCCAGACACTGTACTAGGCCCTTTATATATGTCAGTTCACTCACTTCTTACAACATACCTGTGATACAAGTATTATTAGCCCTGTTTCATGGAGGAGAAAACTGTGATTCTGAGACATTAAGTAATTTACCCCAAACCCCACAGGTTGTTAAGTGGTGAACCCAGGACTGGAACCTAAGACTGTCCTATTCCAAAGTTCTTTTTTTTCCCCTACAAATTTCATTGTCTTGCCTTGTCTTTGTAAAATGTGTTTATTCATATTAAACAACAGCACTGACTGCGTGACTGAAAAACAGTGTACTCAAAGATCAGGATCATGACAATTAAAAGAATGAGTGTGAGGAAACAGCATCCTACACATTCTTTTATTTTTTTCAATTTCCCGCTGGGTTTTTGATACTTAAGTTTAAGTATAATCTGGAAAAAGTTTAAACAAGGGGACTAAATACAGTGCAAGGTAAGGTGCTTTTATATTGTTGCATTCTCACTATAGGGGCAAAGAAATAGCAGTGATTCTTCTTCTGTTCTCCAGTAGTGGGACAATTTACCAACATGGTTGCTGTGTAGTTTCAGGCAATTTAGGTTTGGAAGGACAGAGTGATAAGCAATGTAGTCCGTGTACCAGTTAATGCAGTGTTTATAGAAATGTTTTTAAATTAAATAGCTAACCACTAAAATAGCATTTTATCAAATAATCACGATAAATAAAATGCATTTTGACTTTAAGATGACATGTGCTCTTATAGGATGTTTCTTCTGTATGCTAAGGACTATACAGCAAATTAAAGCACACACATTTATGTGGATAAAAGGCAAATAAACTTTCTCCAGCAGTAATATTAGAACCATCACTGACGGTTTGACATATCAATATTTTAGGAAGAATAAATGACTTTCATACCCATGTTCTTTTTTTTAATCATATACTTGCTCGTTTTTTACATTACTAGAATACTTTGGAAAGAATCTGTACTCTATCACCTGAAACTGCTTAAAGTATTTCGAAATATTTTAATAAAGCTCTTTGAATTATCAAATAATGTAACTTTTAAACAAATTTTACTATTATTATAAATATTTGCTCTTTTATCCCTTGCCCAAAGGAAAACTATAAATCTTGCCTCAACTGAATGAACACCATTTATCATATTCATTTTGTTGTCAATACAATTATGAAAAGCCTTTGGCCTTTTCCCAAGGAAGCTGATTTGCTACTGAAACTCAATTATTATAAGCAAGGACGGTACCAAACCATCCCGTTTGGCAATCTAACATAACTTCCTGCATAACTGACACTTGGCCCTCCGTCCCTGACCCTGATAACATCAACGTCTACAGTCAGATGGAGGAGACAGTGGTTTCTAGCCCAAAACAAAAGTTAAGTCCAAAGGTTTTCCGTTTGCTATTTTCTGCCATCTGCTGGACAAAAGTTTCATTTCAGATAGGTGCCCAAAAGAAGGAGCAAAGTGAGGAAATGGAAAACAGACTTAATTAAAAACTTAAATTACAATATGTTCTATAAATTTTAGGCAGTATCAATTATGACAGATATTTCTATTCTTTGATGCTAAGGGGAAAGTTCTTATCTGAACTCTTAGTTAAGATCGTTGCTGAGGAAAACGTGAAGCATTAATTGCTGGACCTCCTAGAGTTGTAGGTTGGCTTCAAGATCACCATCAATTTTAAAGTGCTAAAGTTAGGTTTTTACAATATTTCAAATAAATGAAAGTTTTTGCTTTGTGAGCTTGTATTTATGTTTAGAGAAATGAAAGGGTCATATGTAATTCCAGTTTATTCCGCACAGTTAAAAGAGTTGTATGACTTTCCATGTTAAAATCTTCAATCTCTGTACATGTACTTTGTATGCTGACATAAAGACATACTGATTTCTAAACGGCATGGAAAATTCTTATCTCTAACCCTTCTATGGGCACATAAATCTGATGAGGTAGGTTTTAATAGTAAGTAAAAATGTAAGTAAGTATTCAAAATTAATGCTAAACGATTTCTTTAATGTGTAGCGTTCTCCCTGAAACATGCCCAGATCCTGTTAGTTATGTTTTCGGCCATAACTGTGTCATCAGTACTTGAAGACTGCCTTTAAGAAGTTTCTTTTGTAATTTAATTTATGAGGGAAGTTTCTTTTGTAATTCAATTCATGAGGGAAGTTCTTATTTATGATAAGAAGGGTCTGAAAAGAGCAACTGACAAATAATGTAACTTAAAAAATAACTTTAAGGTTACAGAATTTTCTTACGTGCTCTGATGGTTTCACGTATAAAGGCATGAAAACATATGTTACACTTACATGACTTGCATACACTATCACTTTCTGTTAAGATCAAAGAGGATTCGTACAATATTGTTAAAACAATATTAACAGTAACCATTTATGACTACCTGTTATGTTCTAGACATTACACAAAGTACGTTACCTATTTCAATAGTTACAATAGGCCATGATACTGGATGTCTCCTTTTATAGATGAGGAAACTCAGAGAGGTGAAAAGACTTGCCAAAGTTTACACAGCAAATGGAGAGTTAGGAATTCAAGCCAGGTCTGCCTAACACCAAATCTTTTTACTATTAATGATGAGGCATTTCTGTGGGGGGATGTTTGTTTCCTTGTTTATTTATTTTGCTGTCTGTACTAAGCCTTGGCAAAGGTAAGTTCAAATTTTATATCAAATGAAAATCCTAACAATTTATTTCCCCCTTTTCATGTCCATTAATATTTTCATGATGATGAAAAACTACAGCATGATAACCTGAGCCTCAAAGAGATAAAGTGTCCTCAGCTCTGCTATTTGAGATAGAGTAGGAATCCAAATCTCCTCGAAAATGCCAAATGGTAGGATCCATTGATCTTGAGTTAGAGACGTCAGCCCAATTATCCCTGCAACCCCAACATAAACAATCATTTGGGGATGTGATTTTTTAAGGTGTCAATATTTAATGGCACCAAAAAAGTGACCTCTCTGAGCTGGGTCTCCAAATGCTGTGCTCAGTTATCTGTACTGCTGCCACTGTGCTGTAATTTTTAGCTGATTACACATTAGTTCATTTAGCTTTGTTTCCTCTTCCCTACTGTGCCATACTATTAAACGAAAGCCAGGGGCCTGGCATCCCTCTGTGCACAGAGCTGGTATTGTCACAGTGTAATAAGGATACATCCAGTCAAACAGCATGGTGTAGCTGGTCTTTGTGTTCAGTGCAAAGGCAATCCCTCGAAGATCTCTTGCCAGCCCGATCAACAGACGCTGTCAGTGGGAAAGAGACACAGTAATTGATTTTCACGTTAGCACAGAGCAGATGGAGTAATAATCAGGCAATAATGACCACATATCTGATTTTGATTCATTAGCTAAAATGTCTCGCTCAGATCTCTTTCTATAGAAAGTCACAGACTTTTTAAGCAAACAGACCATCAAATCTGCTGACCAACTCTGCTTCTTATAAATTGAGCTGAGTCATAATTCCAATAGCTTAGAAACATTTAGATTCCTAACATACTTTGTTTCTGAATAACGCCAAATTAGAAAAAAAAAAAGAGCATTGATAATTCCACGAAACAGAAATGTACAGGGTATAGACATTATTTAATAACAACAAATCTTAACCACATTGGCTTGCAAGAAATCAGTCCCACCATGCAATTTGGAGTCTAACCTGAAAGCACACTGGCATTTAAAGATCCCTAAGGAATATCTTTAGTAACTTAGGACAAAATGAAACTGGCCAGATGACCTATTGGTACCGTGGCATACCCAGAATGGCATTCACACTCCCCAAGCAAGGAAAAGATATAAGGAAAAGAGTTCTTCTACACTCAATATCAGAAGACTTGAATCTAAACCCAGCTTTACTTCTTAACTGTAAGACTTAAGGCAAGGCAAATTATCAGCCTCAGTTTTCTCATCTCTGAAAGGGGCTAATAATGCCTCTCTCACAGAGGCACTGTCAGGAATAAATTTATATAAAAATGCCTGATACATACATAAGTGTTCCATAAATACTTAGTTTTAGAGAAAACAAAACAAAACAAAATGAAAACTTGACTCTTAAATAGAAGAGATCTGACTGGCACTCTGGACCCTTAATTAAGCTGTCCTTAGGAAGATGCTTGGGAAGTGAAAAAGAAAACCCATGAACAGATGCTAGAATGTCAGAACAAAGAGTACAAATAAACATAATTGCAAAACAAGGGGGTGGGATAATTGAGATACGCAACTGTGATTTCTGAAGATACTGTTTTCAGTGGAAATATTCTGCCAGAAAATGGTCTCTGAACTATTTTATCAGATTTTCTTTTCCGCACACTTTGGTAATAAATGAAAGTCTCTTTAGGAAGGCGTTTAAATTATCATTAAGGACTTGGAAGTGAATGCTGACCCTCATCTTAATGACTACAAAAATTTCAAAGTAGGAAATAGTTTATGTCACAAGTATCTGTAATTTTTGATCCCCTTTCCCCAATGCCCCATACCTAAAATGAGACTCAATATAACTGAAAGTTGTTCATAAGAATATTCAGTTTCTATACTGTGTAACAGCTTATAGAATGATGGTAATCTGAATTTCTGAATCTGTAAACCCTGAACTTTTGTTTCTGCTTCTTAAAATAACTTATTCTTTTTCCTTTCATAATCTCACCAGTCCTTGTTTTTCTATAATCGGCTAGTCTCTCTGTGTAGTTCTCTTATGTGACTGCTATTTTTTTTTTAAAACCATTTTGCCTTTTATGTAACCTGTTTTCATCACCTGGAACCTATTCTCCTCTTTCTCAGCTTTCCACATTTCTTGCAGCTTCCAGAACAGAATATGTCTTCTAAGAAGTCTTTGAACAATTCTATTCTGACTAATTCTCTTTGTAGTCTTTCTATTAAAGTGGCCCTTTTTGATTCTATTTTTATTATGTACACTTACAAATTACAGGCTACTCTTCAAATAATCTTCAGTTTTCACATATACATAAGGTACTCATCACCATTCAACTCTAAATCGGTCAACAGGAGCAATAAGTTTTACTTTGTGTCTAGTGCAAAAGGCTCTTAAAATATTTTAGACTACCCTTATTACACAAAAAGGTTAATATTTATTTCATCACAAATTTTTTTCTTAAGAGATGCCAAGTTAATAGAAGGGCTCTAACTGACTCAAATCTATGAAATTATGTCCATTTTAGAAAATGTTACTCCAAAGCAGAGGAAGCATATGACAGTATAATAACTAAATATGTTTTCAAAAGATTCGACTGAGCAGGAAAATGCAGTGTTAATGTGAGAAGCAGATCTCTGATGCTCAAACAATCTTTTATCTCAAAGCAGCAAGAGTACTGTAATAATCTATACAGACACTCAAACAACACTAAGGAAGTACTTTCTTGACAGTCAAAAGATACCCAGTTCTGGTATGAGACCAGGAAAACTGTGAACAAGGAGCTCAACCAGGCTATCAAACAATCTCAGAGATCAAGGGATGACCTGAAATTTAGGGGAGGAAGAGCCACAGTTTACCATCTCACTTAAAACAGCACAAAGAGGTTTATTTCAAAAGTTGCCTTTCTCCTACAGTTAGCCAACACTTGACTGACCTGAAAAATGAGAGGTCCTCATAAAGTGAGGCTGTTTGGGGGAGTGGGCAGGTCTGGGGTATCTAATCCTAAGGATTCCTTTTTTGGATAGTTCAAGGAGAAACTGCTCGGTGCTGCAGTCTCCTGCATGGTGAACGGCCGTCTGTGTGCCAAGTGTGAGAAGGATGGGCTGGGAAACAGTTGAAATGCGGCTCCTTCCACCCTGACCTCCAAAACAGGGTTTCTAATGGAAAGTCTGACAGACCCTTTACTGTAGTGGCACTACTGGGGGCAGCTATAATATTATCCTCATAATTCTACTATATAATAACAACAAAGAAAAAGAAGGTGAAGGGTCATTGTGCTTTGTCTTTAGAATTAAGATGGCTGTCTTCATCCTTACAGCATACTCTTAATTCTGGAGACACATCTTAATAACCTCTAAATAGTTCCAACAAAAGAGCCGTGTCAGAGGAATGAGCAGGCCCCAAGGTGTTTCAACTGGAGTGTTTTCATCTGCCTTTATTGCTCTATCCCTCTCCAGAATTAAGGCAATAACCTGTGATAAATTATTCAGGAACTGCTACAGGGATCAAAGCAAAATCATTCTGTTAAAGTGCTGTTTGCAACATTTGGCACTTAGTGCGAAAACTTTTAATGTGCGCATGCTGAAAATCTAGGATTTTAAATAATTTAACATTGTGGAGTTTTTACGAAGGGACTAAAGATAGCAGGTTCCTATTTAACTGCCCCTCTTCCTCCTAGAAGTTTTCATTCATTTCCCTTAAAACTGATGACGTCATGGCGAAAACAAAAATGATGCATGGGGAGTCAGAGGACTGGACTGTATTTTACTATGGGTGCAATCACAGCGGGGAAACACGTACTGTGAACTAACGCTTTAGAGCCAGGGTTTGTCAGAGCAATTCCTTTCTTTTTCCCTTTCCTTTGAAAAGAGAAACCCAAGACAAAAACTCAATGTTCTCTTCAATTTTATTAGGACTAAGTAAGAAAACAAAGCTATAAATTTAAGAGTTTTACAGCATTTCCTCCTCTCACAACCATATTTCAGTTTGGCAATGTAGGTCCTTAATGCTTATGTTTATCCTGAAATCCGCATTTGAAAAATATCTATCAATAAATAGGCAGTTAGAAAATCCTGGTAAGGGTTGCAAATTAAATGAATTTGGCAGTCCTGCAGCATTTTCATAGAGATATTTTAACGGCATCACCTCCTGTGGATTGGAATACTAAATACTTTATTGAAGAACAAAACAGAACTGTTTTTATCTCTAGTACTTGCAAAATGAAGTACCTGAAAGCACTTCTGCATGTATTATTTATTCATCATGATAGAAAAATAGGCTTAACCTAATAAATTACATTTAAAAGCATTTACTGCAAAAGTTTTGTTTACGATAAAGCAACAGATTTAGTTCTTTATCGGTAGCTTAAAGCACCAAGTTTTCTTTATACAAATTAGACAGATGGTGCTTACAGTAGAATTTACTAAAGGTCTGTCACAACAAATGCAGCCAAGCTGCATATTTAATCACTGCAGAATCTTGTCTACCTGCAGCTGCCAACTGCTAATCCAATTTCCCTGATAAATGTGGCAAGAGACACGATCAGCAATAAAGAGCATCTAACTCCATTTTCCTGCAGGGCGTCTTTTGATGAACATTTAGGACGGAAGCACGGAGTGCACTGTGTGGCCTTGGTTCGTGGCAGCTGCATGCATTCTGAGGCACAGTTCTCAGGTTACTCACTTAATTCTGCCACTATCATTACGTTGCTATTGATCTCAGTAGCTGTTGCCTACACAGCATTACTCTAGATGAAGCTGAATCAGGCAGTTATCATGCATCAAACTTGCTCAAAAGCCTGGAGATTTCCCCTTAATTACTTGTGATTTTATTTGCAAATACCGTTAAAGTGTAATCAAGCAGTCACTTTCCAGGGTCGTTAAGAACTTGCTGGTTTAGGGATATATCACTGGAACTCCATTCAAAATGACTCTAGGAAGATGGTTTCTATCAAACTAGATGGGATTACATCAAAACGGGCTCGGAGTATAATGAAATCTTCAAATGAGACAAATGTAATTTTTATAAAGATAGTGTTTTTCAACCTCACGGCTTCTTTTTGATATAAAGGGCAGCAATAGCCACCTTAAGCTTGCAAAGATTTTTCTGGTCATTAAAAATATTTGGGAGACATCTCAAAAATATAGCTAACCTGAGTAGAAACTCTGGTGAAGAATTTCAGCAACACTATAAACACAAAGAAAATCTCTAAGATCCCTTTCTGGTTTTAAAAATTCTATGACTATTGCATGTTGATAAACATTCATTTCAAAAACTCTATGTCAAAATAAAAGGTACAGTATTTGGTTAATTATTTTTTAGTACAAGAATTACACTAAACAATCACTGACGGCCATCATTCTTCTATTTGGCTTCTTACTGCTAATTTTTTTTTTTTTTGGTAGAGAGAAGAGGAGTCATGCAAAATGACTGTCAATATTTTCAACACATTTCAAATAACAATAAAACACGACTCAAGTATCACCGATAAAGGTGCCTACATTTTCGGTATATATTTATTAGTCTTTTAAGGATAATGACCAGTGTTAATCTATTTAATACAGCCCTGATACATCAGAATTTCAGAAGATGTTACTCCTATTTAGCAGATCTTGTGCTCCCCATCCCCCATATTAAAATATGGGGCTGTTTTGTCACAGACAGCTTGCTACACTTAAGGATTTTACTAATAAAACATAATGTTGTCTTAGATATTATGACTGTTGCCACAGCTGAACTGACTTGTCAAATCAATCCTAATATGGCTCCCACAGGCACATAAAAACCTTATTTAGCTATCAGTTACCCTGATCACTTTGTTCAGTTTAAGAATGCAATACTTCAAGACCAGCTCCTATTTATACATATATGCCTAGCCATTTAATAAAGTCTTGATTTACACAAATTCTTGTTTAAAAATATTTAGAGATGCAGTATTTTGGCATGTGCACATTTGTGCATTCCTCCATATAAGTATGTTGAAACATATAGTGTGGGGTAGATGAGGGAATAGGGACGTTTAAAGTGGTGTACCCACGAGAAATGTTCTTTTAAAAGATACTGCCACGAGAGACAAATGCATCATCTAATCATAAGCTCTTTGAAATCATTCGATAACCTCAAAGTCCATTTGTATAAGAAACTAGAAAAGTACTTATATGAAAAGTACAACTCAAAGACACATGCAATTGGGAAATTAAGATTGATGAAGCACAAAGCACACACAAATATGCAGACCTTTTTCTGAATCTATACATCCTAGAATGAACAAAATCGTCTTTTCTCATGTTTGGAAACAAACCCACCTTTACATCTTCTTGTTTAAAGTTGTTATTGAATATCTGTAACACTGTTTCAAAAGAGACTGTAAGAGGCAGCATGAAATTCTCAAATTCGTCCTCATCTTCTCCTATCAGAAAAACAAAAGGGTCATTACGCTTTAAGATGCATGCTATTGTCCATGAGTCTCCACAGTGAGTGCTTCATTCAGGCTTAGAAATGTTCTTGAGAAGGGGTCAGCTTGCATTCACATCCATACCACATTTTGTGCTTTGGCTCATTGAATATTCTGGTGTTTTGCCTTCTCTTTTGCACCAAATGAAATAGCAAAATTACTTACCAGCCATTTTTTTTCCTGGCTCTTTATTGGATCAAATAGACTCATGCCCCAGGCTTCTCAGCCCTTCAGCTCTTAGGGCCCCCAGAGCTTCCCTAACGCCTCAAGGAGAGGCACTTTCAAAGCCTCCGAGAACAGGATCTTTTTCCCCTTTCTCTTTAGGTGCCAAGGCCCTAAAGGGCTCACAGACTCAGGTGCCCAGATAACCCTAAGTTATTATTCTCTTTTATTTATGTTCTTTTTTATTAATTTGTTAAATAGATGTCAGGGAAACTTTTATCTCCAAACGGGATGGGGTCCCTCATGGGTCATTTGGATTTTAAGTACATTCTCCATTGAGTACACTTCCTTTTGCAATAAGCTTCTTTTTCTTTATATAAAAAAGGGAAAAGAGACGTTTTCTATTGTTTTTTCACTTTGAAGGTAGAATCTTCATTTAACAAATGGATATGTTACACAATTGGTAATTTATCCTTTTCGAAAGGGGTTTCCTTCAAATGAGAAAGTTTTCTCATTCATCCTATGCCACAGGGAATTGTGAGTCCCACTTTACTGATGAAGAAACAGGCAGAGAAATGTTAAGCGACTGCTCAAGGTAGCATACTTAGTTGGAGGTGTAACTCCTGATTTCTATGCTAGCAGTTTTTAAGTAGAGAATTAGAGAGGAAATAAGATCTCAGAGAAGAGATCAGTGGTTCTCAAAGTTTGGTCCTTGACCTAGCAGCATCAGCATTACCTGGGAACATGTTAGATATAAAAACCCAGGTTTCATCCCAGATCCAGCAATTTTTGTTTTAAGAAGCCTTCCAGGTAACTCAGGTGCATGCAAATGTTTGAGAAACACTGGCCTATATATTATTCTACAGATAAGGAGAGCGAGGTCCAAGGCCACATACACAGAAAATCAATAGCAGAATCAGGATCTTTTGACTCTTAAGGAGTGGCTGATCTGGCTGACCCTGATCTTTTGTGACTTCTCTTTTCCCTTTAACCTTACATACTTTGTTTCTGGAGTCCAACAGATTCAGGGACTCAGCTTTCTTCAGAAAGAGATGTCAAAAGGCCAATGAGTCTTTCCTAGTACGCTGTTCGACACAAGGATCAGGGTGCTAGGTGAAGGGGAAAGTAAACCAAATTATAGCGACCTCGTGGTGCAATGGTAGTACGTCTGACTCCGAATTATAAGCCCTGCCCTGTCAACTAGCTATGTGACCAAGTTACTCCTCTTAGATACACTCTCTGTCAACTGGGGATAACATTAGAGACCTTTATAGAAGCCAGTTTTATTTTTCAAAGCCCAGGTCAAATGATAGCTTTCTTAATGTCTGAGCTAAGCTCCCCTTCAAGTACTAAGATCCTACTGCAAGTATTCCCCTTCTCCCTTTGGGTTCTCACAGCATTTTGTCTGATTCTTCACCTTTGTCTGATCCTTTAGACAGCATGGATCAGTCTGCTGTGAATGGCAGATATTTTAGCAGATAGCTAATACTAACACTTAATAATACCACCTATATCATTCTACCACTACCACCATTTCATGAAGGTTACTGTGGAGATTAAGTGAGATACAATTTGTAACATGTAGATGTAAATTATTAGATCTATCAGCCTACACTGATAGTATCTTTGGCTTTGCTTCTGGAGAACCGAGACTGCATCTTTTCATTTCTCTGTGAAGGAGAATGATGTAGGTTAAGCCCCTGCAATAAACAGACCCAGTGTCTGGCTCCATCATGTACTGTTTAACTTTGGATACTTAGCTGATCACTTTGTGTCTCAGTTTTCTCATCTATAAAATAAGGATAAGTACCTATCTTTTGAGGATTATTGTGCGTATTAAATGTATATACAGGAAAAATAGATGATGCACCTAGAACAGTGCCTGGTACATATCAGGGAAATACTGTATTTGAATGAAAAGTAGTTGTTCAATTAAAGGTAAATTTTAAAATTACCTTATTTTCTTAATACCTAATACAGAAAAATTACTAACTGAAGCAAACATCAAATCCTTAAATATATAATACATTGTATTTTAAACCATGTAATCTTACTCTTCTAGTATGGAATTAATGAGAATGAGTGATAATGATCACTGCAGGCAGATAAGGGTGCTAGAGAGAGTGGATGCTTTGAAAGTTCTATGCTTGAATCCTGGTTCTGCTACTATTAGCTGTCTGCTTTTGGATAAAGTCTCTTCACTCATCTGTAATTAAGAGACATAATATTTACTTCATAAAGTTAGCTGTGAGGATTAAATGACAAAACACTTGTAAGCCCCCTTGCTCAGTGTCTGGCACTTAAAAAATGATAGCCAGGAGCATTTTTGTTGTTTTGAGTTTAACATGAACTTAACAGAGGTGATTATGGTGGTCAAATAAAATGTGACCACGAGGTTGCCAGCCCAGTACCCTTCCTCTGGGAGCAAGGTAAGGATATTTACTCAGAACAAAGACAAACTCACAACTTGAACATTTAAACCCTTCCTTAGTATACTGAGCTACAGATCAAAAAAACTTCCTGATTCCATCTCTTTCCTCAATCAAATTTTGAGGCAAATAGGGACATCAGGAGCACGAGAGAAAGCCACCAAAATGTGAAGGGAGAAGTCAAGGAGCAAATACTAAAGAAAGCAAGGTGAGCGGCAATTCTACTTAAATGTCACTTCCTCAGAAAGGGCTTCACTGACCACTCTAAAACAGTACCACAGTGTGTGCCCTCCCCCCTCACCTACTTTCCCACCCCAGAAACGACTTCACTGTTCTTATGGGACTTATACTATGACTGGCTATTAATTTATATATTTATTCATTGTCTTTCCTACTAGAATGTAAGCTCCTTGGAGAAGGAACTTGGTCTGTCTTGATCACGACTGTATCCCCAGTGCCTAGAGGAGGGTCTGGTGGTCAAGTAATATTTGTGTAGTGACTGAATAACAGTAGTTATTTCTTGAGTACTTGTTATGTGCAGTCAATGAATGTGGTACTTAATTTACTTAACAAACACCTATGTAGCTCTTACTACCTTCAAAGCATTGTTGTGAGTCATTACCAGTCACAACAATCCTGTAAACTAGTATGATGATTTCCTTCATTTTACTTGTGAACAGAGAGGCTGAAGGAGTTAAGTAGTTTGTCCAGCATCCTCTGCCTGGTAAATGTCAGTGAACCAGGGTCTCCAATTAGTTCTGCTTTACCCCCCAACTTCATGTTCCTCCCCTCATGTCTCTGATGGGGTGGAAGGTGTCAGAGGTAGGGACGGAAGTCAGGGTCACAAAATCTTGACTTTGCAGTTGCATGAGGTCAGAAGAGGGTGAAGAACAATTAGCTTGGTCCTGGTGAGGAGAAAGGAATTCCTCAGCAATCACTTGAGTTTAAGGTAGGCAAACGAGAGACACTGGTGCATTATTCCCATAGAAACGTTTATGTTTCAGTAAGCACTGTTCCTATTACTGCAATGTGATATGTTGTAGCACCTAAGCTAGAAAACTGGTCATTTTTTTTTTTTACCTCATGCAACTTTATACAACATCTATTAAGGATTTTTTCCTCATTTGTATTACCCATGGAGGTATCATTTACTGTTTCTGATACGAAAAGAGAAAACATGTGCTCTTACAACTTTACATTCAAGTATGCAGTCATATATTATATTTAGTATGCCAAATCTACATGTGATCATTTTATGAATAATAATGGAAGCTGCCAGTTTTTTTTTTTCTAACAAGACGAGGGCCCAGACACCAGTATAATTTGAGGGTGAAGTGCCAATTTATAGGCTACTATTTTCATTGGCATCAGAAAGTAAATACTAACGTAACATCCTAAGTTCTCAGTCATGCATAGATAAAAATAATATTCCTCAGTGTCGACTTAAAAAAATGCACAACACGAGAATTGCGAGTTAAGTTTTATTTGGGGCAAAATGAGGGCTGTAACCTGGGAGGCAGCATTTCAGATAGCTCTGAGAAGCTGCCCTGAAGAGGTGGGGAGAAGGTCCGTATACATGTGATTTTGGTGAAGGGGGAGTACATGCAATCAAGAGCATATATTTTGCAGAAGGTTTCTGTGAGTCTTGTGAAGGTTACTGCTAGTCACGAGCAGCAGACGTCACCATGAAGGATCTTAGTGCTTTTCTAGATATGAGGAGATACAAGAACTGGGCTCATAAAATCAGCTCCTGAAAATACCTAACTATCTGTAGACCTGTTCTGCCAGTTTTTCCCAGAGCACCTCATCTCTGCTCTCCACCCTGAACTCCTTTCAGGGGCTGCTGAAAGTCAGCAGCTGCAGCAGCTCATGATTTAATCCTTGTAGAGGTAGATGGCAAGTGCCAAGGGCAAGGGCCAATCTGTAATTGACATCAGTTTTTAGGGAAAACCCAAAGCTAAATTCCCTCTACTGGATTTTTGAGGATCTGATTCAACAGAAAAGTTATTCATTTTATGAATTTCAATTTCTTTTCCTTCAGAGAAGTCACATTAAAATACAAATAGTAACTATTTTAGTATGTTGGCTCTCAGATATTTTATTTGTAGGCCACTTCATCTGATATTTTGTATAACTTAAAATCTAGATTGGTGGGAATGTAAAATGGTGAAGCCAATATAATATGATGCAGCCACTGTGGAAAACAGTTTGGTAGTTAGTCAAAAAGTTAAACACAGAGTTGTCATATGGCTCAGCAATTTTATTCCTAGGTATATGCCCAAGAGAACCGAAAGCATATGTCCATACAAAAACTTAGCATACGAATGCTCAGAGCAGCATTATCATAATAGCCAAAAGGTGGAA